CGATTTGCTGCTTTACAGCAAATCGTTAACCACACGTTTTCTAAATGCCCAATGTACTGTTTTACATTCTACTTGCGCGTCCATTTGGGAAAAGATGCATCCTGTCAAACTCAAGTCATCCCTATGGAGTTCGGTTTTGGGGTAGACTAAAGCTGCATGGCCATCTCATCTGCCTCGTAGACGAGCTAACAAGTGGCAAAAGTTTTGTTGTGAAAAGGGCTGGCTATCTATTTACAAAGCTATTATGTCGCGTGTCGTATTCCATTTGAACTATTGCTTTTACAACACAACCAAGCTCCCCTTACTTCAAGGTTCAAACATTGATGACGGGCGATTTAAGCGTTTACTTCTTACAAAAGCCACACACAACATGGGATGGAGAAGAATCCCATCCACACCGCAAACTGCAAACGAGCGATGTTGGCAATCCAGTTGACGGTTCTGTGTCTTCAACTTCCATGGATGTCCTCTGAGATGGTTATTTTGAGCTAAAGTCAACGGGACGGGAAAGGTGTCTGAATTGATGCAGTATGTGGATTGTCAAGATTAGTCNCCCCCCCCCCCCGCGAAGTTGATGATACTGAATTGAGTAAAGCCTCAATATTTATTGTCTACCGGAGTATGTCTTGTTATACAGATCTTTCACTATTTTTGTTGCCCACCTTTCCGGACGTTCTTGAGCTTTTTTTGTCGCGGTTCAACCATGGATTCCATAGTTGAACGGTATATTCCATGTGTAGCCGAATGACGCTGTTAGCAAGTGTGAAAACGGTGCTATCTTGAACTGCCCGAAAACACATTCAAGCAGCTCAACGCTTTTAGATCGATGGGTGATGCTCTGGCACAGTGCGTGGAACATCCTACGTCTTCATGTGCCATAACTGCCAAATCTCTTTCATCAGTGGCATACCGTAGTATTTGGTTCCCCAGAACACAAGAAATGAATCTTGTGCCGCATGGAAATAACTTTGCATTTTGAAACGTTGAATTCAATGTTGTTGGCGATTGACCATCGGTGGGCTGCATTGATCGTTTCTTGAAGTGCCATATAATCCTCTGAATGTGCTACTGTTCTCCAGATTTTAGCGTCGTCTGCAAATAGTAGTGTATTTTTCTTTTATAAATGCAAGAAAAAGACGAGGGCCCAGGACGGGTCCTTGTGGAACCCCTTAGACAGCGGCGATAGGTCCAGATAATGAATCACCGATACGAGCTCACATCGTTCTTTGTTTGATAGACTCATTATTTCAGTCAAAAACCAAACCTCGTGCTCCGTAATTCGAGTTTTGCATTATTATTTGGTGGTTTACTCGATCAAATGCTTTGGAGAAGTTCAAATAAATTGTCCAACGGTTCGCTTGCATCGACCGATTTTATCCGCTCATCTCGTGCAAGAAGTAGATGTGAGGTGCACGAACGTTTGTGCCGAAATCCGTACTAAGCTGGGAACAAATTGTCATGCTTCTCCAGATACTTCATCAATAGCTTTGCCACAGTAGCCTGCATGAGTTTCGACAGTATCGGAAGAAGTGTAACAGGGCGGTAGTTGGCGGGATTACTGTGAGAGCCTCCTTTGTACATGAATAAAATCATCCCTCCCTTCCAGGACTGCGGAAGTACTATCTCGTCGAGCATCTTTTGCTAAAGAACAGCCGCATGTTTACGCACCATTGTACGAATCGGATGGAGAAACCGGAGGAGCAATGCTGAGGTTAGGCGCAAAGTTTTAAGTAAACGCAGTCGCCCACTGGAGCAAGTGAACAACTTCCATAGATTGCGTTGGTTGGGGCATGTGTTCCGCATGTCACCAAATAGGTTGCCACGGCACGCGATATTTGCCAAGACAGGTAGTAAAAGAAAAACTCAATGTGGTCAAACTCAGACCTAGGACAAGGGTATGAAAATCCTAACCAGGAGATTGGGTCACATAGGTCCCGTTAGGCTCCCTGGATGATGTGCTCGGGATCAATGTGTTTAGAGACACTGAGTGACATATAACCGAGTTTTGTAAACAGTATCGCTCGTGCATGTTCTCAGTTTCTTTAAAACTGAATTTCTGGATTTCTCCGTTTTGTTTGATTCTACTTTCAACTCTCCCTTCTTCTGCCTCTTCATCCGATAGACCCTAACCAAAACCGGCCCACGAACGTGCATGATTATTAATTGTACAAACCGGAATTGATATTTACCTAGCTGCCCGATTGCGTTTTAGGCTAACATTTGAATACATACATGTGGGTTGGAGAATTGGTTGACAGTACACATCAGTTCTAGTTATTAGAAATACCTTTCCTTCTCTTTATGTTTCACAGATTACCGTCCGAGATGGTGGATTGAAACTGTTACAGGTGCAAGACAACGGATGCGGGATCCGACTGACAGATATGCCCATCTTGTGCGAAAGATTCACAACGAGCAAACTTCGTGTAAGTTTTTTCTCTCGGTTGGTAATTCAGATAAACAGAAAGCTGTTTACTTTGTATAAATGACTATGGGATTGTCGGAACAATCTCACGGAACACAAATTAGTAAACATGCTCGTTTCCGCGATTGCATAATCAGACCAAAAAAACTCAATCTCAATGCATTATAGTCGAGGAATTTCGATGTCAGGGTGAATGGGCCGATATTTCGTATGATCTGTTTGATTATTGGATTCTTCAAGAGCCAATTATCACCTGGTCGGTTACGTGAGAAGTGGTCACGTGTTGCCAAGGGGCCCTAATTGCTTGCACAAATTGCTGTTGAATGCCTAGATGAGGGTTTTGTAGGTCCGTTCTTACTACCCCCGCTCTGGCTAGAATGCGAAACCTCGTGTGTGAAGTTGGTGTTGTTTTGATTCTGTTTGGAGCCGGAACACTTCAGTCCCATTTGCGGTGTAATTGGTATCGACAGCGTTGAAAACCACAACTGTGTGATGTAGTTTACTTAGTTCGCCCGCTTCTCGGCCACGTATACGTGGTGCACACGGATACTGTCGGACAGACGTCTAGTCGTGCGACCAGTGTAGCACGTACTTTATCCCACAAGAACGATTCATGATATAGACACAAAAAAGCTGAAGAATCAGGTTCTTTATCTTTTGACCGTGGATAGATCACTAGAGCGGATTAGTCGCGCGTTTGGTACATGTCTGCATGGAACGTTTTCTTTGTGGTGTGACGGTTTTTGTGCACACTCTGCCAGAGGGCAACTGTTCAATGGCAAACAGATGCACAAGGCCTTTTTTACTATTTTCAATTTTTTAAAGAAGCGCATCGTGGTTTCGCAGTCTGCGGTCTGTTATTGTACAAGAATCTGCCGCACATGTAGGAGTTCGTAATATATAATTGTATTGTATTGTATTGTATATGACTTTTGCAAGCACTGGAGCTCACATTTCAGTTAAGAAATCATACACGCTAACCGTCACAATGTACATAATCAACGGGAAGAAAAGTTTTCGCAGGCATGGGGACATTCATAATCCAAGGTTAAGACAAAGTTCACTTATTGTTCGCTCTTTGTTTGTGATAAACGAGCAGATACGGTATGAGTGAATTGCGGTATGCATTAATTCGAGATGAAATTTGGCGGAATTGAGAGCGTGTTGAATGATGGGAATGACAAAGTGTCAGTTCTGGGTGGTCCGGATCTGTGAGAATCCTCTCGGCAAATTCCACACAGGAAGTTACGTGATACTCGAAAAGCTTTACAGCTAATTCATTCACAGGAATGGAAGAGACACGACTAATAATGGTTAGACACTACGTAAGACTTTGAAATCCTGTTTGAGTAAACCAGGAAAAATAACGGGGAACAGTAGAGTACGATGGGGAAAACACATTGATAAACAAAAGTAGAAATAACTGACTGGGATGCGCGAAACTGCTCTGAGCTTTCGTATTTGAAATGAACGGCGTCGCAGTTTACCAATGCAGTTGTGGATGTGGTTGGTTGCCCAATGAACATTGCTATCTATGGTTACACCAAGATATTTGACAGAGTTCACCCTGGATANGGAAGTTACGTGATACTCGAAAAGCTTTACAGCTAATTCATTCACAGGAATGGAAGAGACACGACTAACAATGGTTAGACCGCGACGTAAGACTTTGAAATCCTGTTTGAGTAAACCAGGAAAAATAACCGGGGAACAGTAGAGTAAGATGGGGAAAACACATTGATAAACAAAAGTAGAAATAACTGACTGGGATGCGCGAAACTGCTTGAGCATTTGAAATGAAAGGCGTTTCACCAATGCAGTTGTGGATGTAAAAATATCTTTTAGAGTATACAGGTGTATAATCAACTGCCAGGGAGGGGGATGGTGTCAAGCGAGCACTGCTTGAACAAACACAATAGCAGAAAGCTGGACGGTGATGACCGTCCACCAGATCACTTGACCACCACTACCGGTTCGTAGTGATGTCTTCTATGAAGACCGTTGATGAAACGAAGTGAATTTCTTCACTTTTTGAATAGTATCAGGCCCCGGAAATAGATGTACCATTCCACATCACTGTCCTGTGCACCGATCGTTCAACTGACCTGTCGTCATCATGAAAAATTCAGCAATTCTAGCGTAACTTTCAAACTCTGGTTTGCATTTCGGAGCATATTCTACACGCGTTTTCAGTCCGTAATGGAATCGACTACACACAGACTGTCGTCGGTGTGACGCTCGAGTGGATTATTTCCTACTTGCAACACGTCAGCATTCCGAGGCCTTAAATAGGATCCCAATCATATCCCGTCTCTCTCTCTCTCCGATAACATATTTTGTTAATAAACATAAACAACGCATTGCTCATCTGGGAAAATAACAATTGTCTTAGCTTGCCCTGTAGGCAGGCCTATTTCTCCATATATATCA